ATATATATATATATATATATATATATATATATATATATATATATACAACCACCCTTTCACGCAGATGTGACTTTGCTGGGTTTGTTTTCTCTGGTGGTGCGTTGATCTCCACTGACGATTCCCAGCAGCTGGGCAATCCAGTCGCGAACGTATCTGTTCTATTTATTGCTGGCGCGTACTGAGATGAACGAGTGTTCGATACGCGTGACGCATGTCATATATACACAGCTTTCTTCCAGAAATGTTGTGCCGGTCTAGCCAGAAGGACGTGTGGACGCATTTGTGTGGGTGCCTCTCTCTTGAGCATTGTCTCTGTTTTTATCTCTCTCCCAAACGTTCTAAATATCTCGAATTCGAAACTAACTCACATACGCATCTGGGTTGGTTTCTCGTTGATTCATGAATATCTCAAATGAATTAGCTTTGACGACTCTGGAACCAAAATTTTGAAAATCCTTTCTTGGTAACGACTTAAGTCTATGGGCTTTGGGCCTCTTAGCATGGGCGTGGTCGATTTTTGTTGTCGCTGGGCACAGTGTTATACGTATAGACATTAAGATAACGCGTTATCCCACCCAAACTGTGTAGTTTAGGGAGGCACAAATGGCAAGCCTCTCTGAGCTAGCAGAGTGTGGGCGCTCATGACTGGGACAAGTCCCTTTTTTGGCCCGAGTCTCACTCACTGACGCCCACAGCTGCCTGTCACAGGCTCTCCGACCGTTACCTGGGGAACAAGGCATCAGTTCACGTCGTGCCTTGTCACCAGTTGTTCGAGTGTCACCCCGAGAGACGAACGTCCCGCCTACCGGCGGCCTCTGTCACGTGTCACAGGCTGTACTACCGGAACCCGAGGATCAAGGTCCTCGTATCATTTCCCTCAGTCATCTGCCACAGACTGTTCGAGTCGCACCCGGAGACCAAGGTCTCTCCAATAACTACGCTCCCTCCTTGTGTGTCGATAGAGTAGTGGTTCCGCGTCAGCCAATGCGCGTCGGGGTTGCCAGAGATCTGATTCCCGCGGTGCCCGCCCTTCCTGCCAGTGTGAGCGGCAGGCGACGCCATGTAGCCTCAGCAGCTGAGCACGTCATAATGCCCCAATGATGACGACGCCATCAGTTCCCTCGTTATCCTGCCACAGGCTGTTGGTCCAACACCTGGACACCATGTGTCCGGTGTCCTGCCACAGGCTGTTGGTCCAGTACCTGAAAACTAGTTCCCTCTCATCAGTGCTCTCGGTCGTCTGTCGCAGGCTGTCCGAACCTTACCCCGGTTACGAATGGCCTTTTCACCGAGGATGGTCGCCTGTCGCAGGCTGTTCGATCGGTACCCGGAGACGAAGGCCAAGTTCCCGCGGCTCAACACCAGCTCGCCGGAGGTCATGCGCTCGTCGGCGCGGGTGCGCGCCCATGCCGGCCGCGTGGTCACCTCGCTGGGCTCGATCATCAGCGCCCTGGACGACCTAGAGGTGGTCGACGAGACCATCTTCCTGCTGGGCGAGAGTCACAACCGGCGTAAAGTCGAGGCAGAGGATTTCCAGGTAAGCAGCCCTGCACGGCCGAAGCGGACGTGGGTACAGCTTGTTGCGAGTGCTCACTCAGAGGTCGAAAAGTATGCTGGACTGCCTCCCAACTGCCCTTTTCGGACCCATAGTCTGTCTTCCCAGCCCATCCAAGAAAACAGGCTTTTAAGATTAGCTCCTAAACATTTCAGAGTTGAATTATCTTCTGCACACAGTAGAGAAGTAGACAGAAAAAAGAAAAGGCTGTATTCCTCCAAATTTACTGCGCTATAAGCGTTGTGTTTTTGGGCGCGCTCAAAGACTGCGTTTCCTTCGACATGAGGGAATCGGGTATGCGAATACATCTCCCGTGTTACCTGGGGCAAATTCGCATGGTATACGGGAGTTGGACCTCGAAAATGCCACAAGCGTTAGATGTACTCATATTTATACTGTTTCGCTACCTACTGCAAGTGTAAGTTTTGGTAGTAAAAGAAAAACGGAGTCCCCTTACACCAATGGTAGACGTTGTTGATCTCTAAGACAAACATCAGGGACATGGAGACATGGCTGGTGTGAACCAAACCAATCTTTCCAATAATTGGTTACCCACCATTCTGTAACGTCCATGCCTGCCATCTTCCACCCGCACCAAAAGCTCATTTTCTCAGCACAACACGGCTGGAGCCATGTTTGTTGACCGTGCGCCTTTAGGGTTTTCCGGTCACTCTCGAAGACACACTCATCATATCCACACTTCACTTTTTGACGCGATGGATATGGCATCTTAGGCTCATAGATCTGGGCCTTCCATGAGTGTGATGCGCGGCTAATAAACCTGGACCTTATCGTCAATAGACAAACCAGCGCGGGTGGATAATATCGCTTATCTTCCAAACCGATGCCCCCCGCCAAACGCTCCGACTTTCCGGCAAAGCCCGCCCCTCAATGGCGTGCACACCTCACGCGCGCGTACATGTGGATTAAGGATGAGCGCATTGTGAACCAGAGCTAAGGGTCGCGGGAGACACTAGTATGACGTTAATTTGCCATATTTTACGTTTTTCATCTAGTTGTGTGCGCCATCGTGACAATAATAAGTCATGTTTTTTTCTTATGTATACAGTGGCCGCTTGTATAAAGCTATGATGGCCCATTTTTCTTTCAAAAAGGTCATTTGTTTTAAACTGACGTCATAAGAGATGATGCGTGGCACTACTGTCTCCGAAAAAAAAAATGGAATCCGGCGCAGCGTTCGTAAGAGTGAAAATGAGCTCAAACACCATTGAAAGCCGACCAGTTCACATTTAAGCCCCTCGCTACCCCTGCTACTGTTCCGCCCGAGCATCTCCGGTCCCGTCTTTTATACAGCCTTCGCCATGCCGAGGGGAGGGGATGGAAGGGAGAGCGGGGCAGGGCCAGTGGAGTGTGCGCGTGGACCGGGGCCCCTTTCGATCTGTCGTCGACACGATTGTCAGCTGGGATGCGTGACGTCATGCGTGCTGACGGAGCGTTCGATGCGTGGGCTGACAGGAAACTTTACTTTCCCTTCTTCTTTTACCGTTTACTTCAGTCCACACGCTGCCTCTGGCTTACCGCCGATCACGACATGCTACCTACAAAGTGGTATCTGGAAAGGTGGCTTCTTTTCCGGTATTCCGGTGTTATCATCATCTATCCCATCCGTATGTTGAGTGCTTCCTCCGATTTCCAATTCATTTCAATTTCTTCCCTCTCATTTTAAGTGTTTATCTATAACGTTATTAATTTAATGGGCAACACAACTACACACCGCAACAATCACTCTCACTCGCCTTACCACGACTACTCGTGGCATTTCGATTCCCTCCTTATCTGTCATACGTCGCATTTCCCCCAAAATTAGAGACAAGTGCCCCCCCCCCCCCCCCACCCCCCCACCCCACCCAGCTCACGTACTCGCCAACGCAAGAGCTACCAAATCAAACTCCCGCTTCAGTCAGAGTGATTTGTAATCTGGTAGCGCTTTCCCTCCATGCTGATGGGCTGATAAAAAATCCTGGCATCATCGTCAGCGGGCGCGCGACGTGCAGGCCACGTGACTTTGTGGTCACGTGACGTGACAAAGGGCGCGCTGACAGATGGAACGCGGCGGGGGCCGTCGGGCTGTTTCCGTAGGGGAGCGGGGGAAGGCGTGCGGGGGATGCACGGGCACGGGCACGGGGGTGCGCTGGGCGGTCGGGCCGGCGGAGCGTTCCGTCCCCACCTTAGCCAAGGCGTTGATGGCCCGGCCATCACCGCGGGGAGGTGAAAGAGCTTTTTCAACACGCTCCTGTGTCTCCTTGAACTTTTTTCAGCATCCCAGAATGGCCTCAACTGGTGTTGTCAAGTAAGCAAGTTTTCCGATTTCTTTGGTGACCGATAAATTGATGGGGTCATTTGTCTATGATTATGTGAAGCCAAGTATAAATGAAAGGTAATAGTAAACATATGATACTTATATTACCATTGCAGTCATAGGAGTTGTAATGATGCACCTGATCAAATCACAATGCTGGACAATGCTGAACTGCATCGCATATTTTACTGCATTGCAGCAAAAAAGCCACCGTGGATTCGGCACGTACTTTGTCGCGGCCTGATCGACAATGGCATCATAGCCGATGTCATTTCAAAGCCGTCCAGATGTATCGGTGGCGTGGCGTATGATCACCATGGACTCGTCATGGGCCCTCAGTTGGGGGTCCTGACTGATGTCGTTCAAAGTTTGAAACACGCTGCCGAGCCACGCCATCGGCCTTAGTAAAGTGATGGCGCCACTAAAGACTAAGCGTGTGGTGGTGGTTGGCGGAGAAATGAATCGTGGTGTGGGAGCTCACAGGCCTTGGCCAAGAGAGATACGTGCAATGGCGCCGTTCGCACATCTATCATGTATATCTGCCTGCAGTAAGTCACTGGGAATGTCTGCAGTTACCCGTATTCGAGAACACGTCATCTGACGGTGTGGTCGCGGGTTAGATTAGAGTGGTGGGGCACGAAAGGCTCGAATATGGGACGTCTCGTGCCGGGTCGGTGCCGGCTTGGTATGGGACGCCTCGTGCAGGATCGGTGCTGGTTTTGGTATGGGACGCCCCGTGCCGTATTGGGGCCGGTTTTTGTGTTTGGGTCGTCGTGCTGGGCCGGGGCGGGTTTGGCATGGGACGCTTTTTGCCCGGGGCGGGATGGGTCTAAGCTTTCTTCTTTGGAACGCTAGGGAGCGCTTGATGGTTTATGGATCCCCATGTACGATTTTTTTGCGCTGGTGCGATAGTGGCTACTCCTGTCGTGTCGCTACTTCACACAGATACTCCAAAAAAGTGTTCGTTCATCCAGTTTCAGCAACGTTGGTGAAATCTGTGCAGCACTCGCGCTAAAAAAATGCACGCATGGGTGTGGTCGGTGGCAACAAGCGAGTTGATTGAAGGCGTTCAACTACTCTAGTTCCAACGGCGTAACGGCACTAACTTGTGAGTGACATACAGGTTCTCGAGCCGGGAGGAGTGCGGCCGGAGCCGAGGAAATCAAAGGCCGAGGAATGCGGAACCCTGTCCGCCCCGTCCGGCCGCCTCCCCCCACACGCGGTGGCCGTCCAGTGGGCTCGAGAGCCCTCTTACGTCTGTGCATATTTACCTCGCGCACCGCCGCGACTGAGATAAGCGAGACCCACACACCGTTTCTCTTTCAGTCGCCGTCGCTGGTTAGGGACAAGACAGCAACGCCGCCGTGCTCGTTACTCACATCGGAACGCGGGGAAACGTTAGCCGGCGCTGCGTACGAGTAACCGAACTAGTGCTTGGGTACGGTAAAAAGGCTTAAGAGAGCGGAGCAAAAGTTATTCTTACTTGCTTGTTACAACACCTAGCTCCCACCGACTCGCTTAGTGTGAAAACAAAAACAAACAAAGCAAACACAAAACACGGTAGGTCAGGTCAGCTGGTATTCGACAAACGTACCGGTAAAGCGCATCCAGAGATGCGCGTAATCCGACTAAATCAACACATCGCTGTCAAGGTGGGTATATGATTCTTAGATCGATGTTTTTCAGAGTTCAAAAGCGCTTCCGCATCGGTTCCACGATGTGCAAAGACCAAATAAGGAAGGAAGGATGGATTTAAGTCGCGCGTATCTTTTGCGCGGCACGTCAGGACTGAGCCGTCATTCGGCTTCCATTCGATGGCATCACACAAATAAATGGGCTCCTGACAGTGTATGGTCACAGCGAGGACGCACTTCGCCCCCGGATAGAGGAGGCTGGTGTGCCCCGTGCGCGTGTCCGGTATTGAGGCGGCGAAGGTTGGTCCTCTGCTGTCTGAGCAGGAGGACACCCAGTCCTCCTGGGCTGGGCGTCCTAAAAAAAAAACTAGAGACCATGCCCCCGGCTGCCCGGAGCCCTTCTCGCGGTAACGCGATCGTCCGCGCTCACCCAAACTCGTGCATAGGGGCCATTTGTCTCAGCATCTGTTCCAAATCCGACACGGTGCTTGGGCGGAATGAGACCGAAGGTCAACTGGCCCATCCTCAGCAGCCGCATCGGTCCGCTCATTTCCAGTCAGCCCGGTAGGGCCCACCGCCCAGGCAAAGCAGAGTCTAGGCTTGAATCCACTTCGTAAGGTCCTCCCACACGTTACTGAGTCAAGGTCGTACTGGAGGTGTGTGGGTTAAAGCGTTGATCTCACACTAGATGGAGTGACAGACGCGGACTTTCGGGGCAAATCAACCACGCGCGCTGAATTTCCCCACGGCATCGCATTGACCTGACAGTGGGAGGAAGCTCTGCTGTCAGGCAGATGATCGCCAGACGTATCAGAAGATTGCAGAACTCGTCCAAATCGCAAATCCTTCTCGGCTGCCAGCATGAGGCAAACTTTTCCCATAGCCTGCACCACACTCGGCATGACGCGACTGTCCGCGCAACAAGCGGTTTTTTTGCTTTGACTCTGGTGCCAACGTTATTTGATCAAGCAGTCGATTGCTGTAGATGAAGTGAACGTGCGTCGTTGAGCACCCTTTTATACCGAGCC